AGAATATTAGCTAAATAAATAGTTTTTTTTTTTAATTTTTTTGTTTCATAGTTTATTTAGTTCAAATAATTTAGTAATTATTATATTATTCATAGCAACTTTGACACAAGGCCAAAAATAATAGTTATTTATGCGAAAGAAGCATTTCCATTTTTTTTCTCATTATGACATAGGTACTGGAAAATTGGTATGTATCTAAATATAGTAGGAGGTACTGCAGACAATTGTTAATACCTCACTTATTCACACTTTATTAATTTTTATATATGACAAATATTAATTTTATAATGAAAAAAATTTGTTTAATGTAATTAAACTTATTACAATTAAATTATTCGAGAAAAATAAATCAAATAACGAATTACTAAATTATTATTACAAAAAACCGCATTTTAGTGATCTTCATTAAAAGTCTTAACAAAAAGTAAAAAAAAAATTCGTTTACCAGAAATAATTTTTTTTTATAATCATCGAAAAAATTCTTCACTAAATATCAAAAAAATATGGTGGTAATTATTCCTTAATTAATTTTTAGAGTTTTTCTTACGATGCCCGATTTAAAATCTTTCGAAAACTTAACACTTTTTCCAGACTAATATAGAGAAACGGAAAAATAAAAACTTGGGTTGTGAAAAATAATTTTCCATTTAAATTTTAAGTAGAGCTCGTCATTAAAATGGGGTATAACAAAAAATATGACTAATAAGAATAATCCCTCGTTTTTTCGAGTGAAATTCTTTAACTAGCTTAATAGGGACGTAAATCCCTGGACGCACGCGCAATTACTTTATTGGCACTTTAAACTTAATTAAGCATTGTTGGTTTCTATGGAAAATGAATTTTAAATCACGCTAATTTCGCGCGAACATCTTCACTGAAGAGCCAAGGCTTTGCTGAACGGGGAAAAAAAAAGAGTTCTTGACCAGAAGCTTATTATTCTCAATGAATTTCCATTCACTTAATTGGCTCAACACATTTTAAAGAAGTTTTTTCATGTTTTCAATGAAAAGAAAAAATTCGATGCATGATGTACACACCCCGCGAGAGAGAGAGAGAGAGAGAGAGATCCTGCTTTTATATTCATTTTGTTGATCAAACAAATTTTCACCGTACTATGTACTCGACAAACAACTTTTTTTACTCCCTATTTTTGATCCCAATAAAGCTCTCGTTGATATTACCTGAAAAATAAACGGCGCCAGTGCATAGTAGCAATCCTTATCACACAAAAAGTTAAAATCAACGCTCTCTAATGAATGTTGCAAGATACCCGGACAACATATCGAACTTTTTCAACTTCAAACGAAACATCAGACGAGAGATCAAGAGTAGCGACGAGAAAATGACGACTTTTCTCCTCTCTATTATAAGTTCGCTAATACGCGAAGTTTCCCGGTCGCGCACGTGTAGTTCGTACCTCTTCGGCGCGATGACAGCGGAAACGTGGGTATCAAAAATTTTCCTCCCTCCGATCCTACATGAAATACAAAAATACAGCGAAACAAGGCGTATAGGTATACACATG